ACATAAATCTACATACAGGCGGGTAAAGAGACTCATGACCTGCATTTTGTGCTCTATTGTCGGAGGAAATCAGTTTATTAAATTACTCTAAGAATTATTCAAATGAATTTTCAGTAAGCACTTCCTACATTCCCAGAATAGAATAGAATGTGAATTTATTCTGAATATGATTACATACAGGAATGGTCTAACATGTAAACACCCTTTTTTGCAGATCAAAGCTTGAACCAAAACATGGACCTTAATCAGAAAATGACATGCATGGAAACACTGCATGCACAATATAAAAAAATGTGATTAAAAATGTGATATAAGAGAAATGCCGTTAATCACACTAAAATTAGTAATGTCAAATATATAATACAAAGTTATAAACACAATCTCTTTGTTTAGAGGCATGTCTGCATACTAGAAATGCTGTCACCTATGTCCTGTCATCACTAATACACACTTTTCCCGGGAAATTGACAACTGTCAATATAGAAGGATTGGTTTGTGCCAGCATGTGTCACAAGAGCTGCCTGAGACCTCAACTACCACCCAGTGAAGGGTATCCAGTTAGAAACAAGGATTTAGAAAAGAGAAACTTGAAGAGGAGAGGGTCAAATGAAAAACAGTCATCCAAACGCTGAGGATTATTGGCATTGTCTAAATCGAATTCTTTAGTGGAATAGGTCGGAACGCAAGGGACGAAAACTAAATAGAAAAACAGAACAGCACCTTTCCTTTAACTCTCGTTTGGAGTGGAGCAGCTCCTGGAATGTGTTTACCATCCCAGGTTCTGATTATACACAACATTAGCCCTCCCAAATAACACAACAAATCAAATGCAGCCAGTGGAAAAGGGCATTTCAATTGCATTCCTATTCAATAATGAAAGACTAATGGCTATTGCGGTTAAATGAGTGCTTTCAAGCCGCTCTCTCGCTCCCTGTAGGCAGGAAGGTAATGAAGGGAGAATGTCGTCTCCGACATGGAAGACTGCTGTAGGACACACCGACTGCGACTGATGGTAAGGGACGCATCAGATGTGACTCTTTGTGGATTTAGTCTGAGAATCACTATACGATAGAACAATGGATAGACAGATGGATGGATGGATGGATGTAATGAGAAAACAACACAGACATAGGGCCAAATAGATGGATGGATTGATATAAATGCAGACAGACAGGCAATTAGATATATAGATAAATATATAGATATATAGATAGATAGATAGATAGATAGATAGATAGATAGATAGATAGATAGATAGATAGATAGATAGATAGATAGATAGATAGATAGATAGATAGATAGATAGATAGATAGATAGATAGATAGATAGACAGACAAATTCAGATAGATAGACAAATGCATAGATAGACAAATGCATAGAGACAGAAAGACAGACAGACAAATAGATAGATAGATAGATAGACAGACAGACAGACAGACATACATACATACAGACAGACAGACAGATAGATAGATAGATAGATAGATAGATAGATAGATAGATAGATAGATAGATAGATAGATAGACAGACAGACAGACAGATAGACAGATAGACAGACAGACAGACATACATACAGACAGACAGACAGACAGATAGATAGATAGATAGATAGATAGATAGATAGATAGATAGATAGATAGATAGATAGATAGATAGATAGATAGATAGATAGATAGATAGATAGATAGATAGATAGATAGACAGACAGACAGACAGACAGAGACAGAGAAACAGACAGAAAGACAGACAGACAGACAGACAGACAGACAGAAAGATAGATAGATAGATAGATAGATAGATAGATTGATAGATAGATAGATAGATAGATAGATAGAAGGACAGACAGACAGAAAGACAGACAGGCAGACAGACAGACAGACAGACAGACAGACAGACAGATAGATAGATAGATAGATAGATAGATAGATAGATAGATAGATAGATAGATAGATAGATAGATAGATAGATAGATAGATAGATAGATAGATAGACAGATAGATAGAAGGACAGACAGACAGACAGAAAGACAGACAGACAGACAGACAGACAGACAGACAGACAGACAGACAGATAGATAGATAGATAGATAGATAGATAGATAGAAGGACAGACATAAAGACAGACAGACAGACAGACAGACAGACAGCCAGCCAGACAGACAGACAGACAGACAGACAGACAGACAGATAGATAGACAGATAGATAGATAGATAGATAGATAGATAGATAGATAGATAGATAGATAGATAGATAGATAGATAGATAGATAGATAGATAGATAGATAGATAGATAGATAGATAGATAGATAGACAAATGCATAGATAGATAAAGAGACAGACAGACAGACAGATAGATATAGACGGACAGATAGACAGATAGACAGATAGACAGATAGATAGATAGATAGATAGATAGACAGACAGACAGACAAATGCATAGATAGATAAAGAGACAGACAGACAGAAAGACAGACAGATAGATATAGATAGACAGACAGACAGACAGACAGACGGACGGACAGATAGACCCGAGTTGTGAATGGAGCAGCAGTGGAGCGGGCTGGAGAACACACAGTCCCAGTGCAGCATCTCAGCACCAAATTATCTCATCAAGGGGAAACTCGAGTCAGGGGAGCGTGGAGAGAGAAAGAACGCTACTTCTGCTGGACAAGCTTTACCAATCTACAGCTCAATTTACAACAAAATCTGTTCATTTTCTTCTTGCCCAACATGAGAAAAGAAAAATAATAATTTGGTTAATGGGCAAACGTTGGTCAGGCTTCAGCGGCTGCGCACACAGACACACAAGATGAAGCATGCTGAGTGAGTTAAAGGCTTTTCAAGTTCCTATAACTGTTTTCAGCTCTCGTGCATTCATTAAAACCAGCTTCCTGCATCACAGACATCCATACAAACGTTACGAAACAGCAATATGGAAAACAAGTGTTTCTTGGGTCAGATTATCAATGCCTGGGGCAAATTACATTACACTATTACTGTCCACAAAAAAGCAATAAGTGGAATTTAATTTAAGAGAAATGGTTTGTTTACATATTGTATTGATTATGGCAGCAGTAATTCACTTAATGATGATCAAAAGATATTGAAAAGCATTTTAATTGGGCATACATCCAGATGCACATTGCCTGGACTGCACTAATGCAGTGATGCAGTAAAGTCTCTACATAATATGTTAGATTGTGGAAGTCTTTCACAACCCACTATCACTGAAACCCCATGCAAAATAGGGAATTGCGGTGTGCAAATTACATTAGGTACAAATTTTCATGCAGTGCCTGCTTTTACCTGATTTATTTCCTGGCCTGATTTTAGTAAATAAAAACTATGCTATCAGCTGCATCAAATCATTTTTAGTAAATTGAGTCTCCATATAAACATCAGTTCATTTCATGTTCGGTTTAGTAAGAAAGTGCATGTTCAAAAACGTTATCATTACTAACCACAGTCATAAGATTTGGGACAACTTTTTTTTGTTTGGTGATTCTAGTGATTCAGGCCAAATTAATTACAGATGTTTAATACTTAAGGTTAGAAGTTTGGAACAAAAGTGTTAACAGTAATAATATAATAGTCTTAAATAAAACATATTTCACCCTCCCCTGATTTAATCATTCAATGCAAACACTGCCATGTTGTCTTCTAAAACAAGAAATCTATAATTCATACTTTTCATGTAACATAAACTTAACACAATTTGGTAAAATGTCAACAGCACTGTTAACACAAATTAGCACTGTAGGCGACTGAAAAGCAAAGTGCTGGAAAATGTCATTTTATCATCACAGCAGAGCTCCTGTGTGCTAGAATTTGAAAGTGGCTGAAGGGAGGCAGGGATGTGAGTGAAAATGGAGAAATGCGTCTCTCTCTCTCTCTCTCAGACATTGATTATCCTGCTCTTTCCTGGGCTGCGTGATTGCATGATTAGAGGGAAAAGAGACACAGAGTGGATGAGAGGTGAGGGAGAAAGCTTTGTGCTTCTGAAAACTCTCCATTTCATGACCCTTGGGCCGCACAGCTAGTTTTCACCAGAGCGAGGGCCACCAAAATGAGTACAATCTGACGAAAATAAAGAGCGAGAGATTAGAATTCAACCAATCTAGAGCAGACGGAGTCAGAAGCGACAGGACGCTCTCAGACAGACTAGCAGTCCTCCATGGGCGTCTCGGTCAATGTTACGCTTATTTCCATTTTTCACGGAGTCTTTGAAACTGCGACGGAGGTGCCAATGGCCTGATTAAAATTCAATTAAATGATTTTCCTGGAATAAATGTTATCAGCTCCACTCATTTGCACGAGGTAACCTTGGCTCAGAGCTAGAAACAGACGTTCATATGCGAGCGAGGAATAGAAGAGTGCAGGAAGGGGCAAAAGCAGGCAGAGAGAACATTACAGCAAATGGAAATACTTGGACACATCATTTAGAGTCTTTGCAATGCCAGAATGAAATAGTGGCCATATATTATTCTAGAAAATTAGAAGAACGTTCTGATGGGACGTCATTTGGAACAAAATCAGGTCAAACTGATGTTCGTTTGGGAGTTTGAAACAGCTTGGCAAAGTTTGCAGACCTGCATACAGACAGATATATGGATAGATAGATATATGGATAGATAGATAGATAGATAGATAGATAGATAGATAGATAGATAGATAGATAGATAGATAGATAGATAGATGATAGGAACGCAGAAAGATGTTCAGCTTTTGTCTTCTCATAACTTCTAGAGGTTTCTGAGAGAACTCATGATAGCTCAATAAATGTGTATACTATTTGAAAACAAACAAACCCCTCCGCAAGCTCATACACACATTCAGAAACACACCTGGAGGCAATATAACAATGTGCTGTATCTCCAGACTAGATGTACAGCTACAAAGATTCCTCAAAAACAATCATGTACAATCAAGCTGCTCGCGGAAAGGAAAAAAGATAAAGATGGAATAGAAAAAAGGAACCCAACAGATTGAGAAACTCACATTCGACTGCTTGGGGGGATTTTGCGTCCGTCTCTGAACCAGGTAACCTGTGGTTGAGGAAAACATCGAATGCGAGGCGCCGGTATAACCGCTCCTTCTCCTTGGGATACGGCTTGGGCTCGTTCCCCGTCCTCAAAACTTCCCATATCTGCAGACAAAAACAAAACAAAAGAGTTAGCAAATGCTGTGCATATGTTAGCATTTAGCACGTAACGTCTGTGTACATACTGACTCATAACACCACTTCAAATACAAACAGGACTTTCATTTCTGGTACAAGTGCCTACATCAGTGGATAAAAGCAGTTGCAGTGTTATTAACGTTTGTCCTTTTGCCAGAGACACACTGCAGAATTTCCCTTTCACCATCTGCTTCAGCTGGGCAGTGTTTGACAGGCGTGTTCTGACACGGCGCCAGACATCGTCGCGGATGCCGTCGGATTGGGGATGATATGTGCCAGCTAGCTATCGGCCATGACAGTGACCAGAACTGACTCATCCGAACGGACATTCACCATGCGTTAAATCAGCAGTCTTCTTTTTAACACCCCTATCTGATTCAGCAGAATAAACGTCCTTGTTTCTTTAACACGAGTAGACTAAACTTGCTGTGAATGAATAGAATTATTACTTTGGTAACATCTTCCCAATATTACACACGCCAATAACAATCACAGGAAAAGAAGGTTTGTAGAGACACTTTTACTCGCAACTTGTGTGTTTGGTAACACTTTATTTTTAACATTTTGACTATAGACCATTTTGCAAAATGTAAACAAAACTGTTCCAGAAACACTTCCTGTTTCAGTTTGTAACTGTTTTCTTTATTTCACATGTAAAGAAACAACTTGAAGATGTTTGATTAACTTTTTGATTCAGTTTTATATGTTCTGTTGGTTGTATTTTATCCCAGCTTTTATGTAGTGTTAAAAAACTGAAACAGGAAGTGCTTCTGGACCAGTGTTGTTTACATCTTGCAAAATGGTCTATATGTAACTTTACAACTAGTCAACAAACTCTCATTCAAATATGCATGGACTGTCTGCCAACTCTTTATTGTGATGGTCCTCCAACAGACACTATATAATAACTTAAGTAACTTTGCAACTACACGTCAACTTATTACAACCCTAACCCTACTACCAGTCTAAAAATACTCTACTAACACTCTAATGAGAGTTAGTACACATGTAGGTGCTACTTTACTTATTGTCAAAAGAATGTGTTGAGGGACCATCAAAATAAAGTGAAACCGTGTGATTTAAAAGCAAAAATGTCCAAAAGTCTAGGGTCTGTAAAAAATAAAAAAAATAAATTAAAGTCTCTTATTCTCAACGAACCTGCATTTATTTGATCAAAAACACATAAAACAGTAATATTACAACATATTATAATGCCTGATGGAAAAGCTGAATTTTCAGCATCATTACTCCAGTCTTCAGTTACACGATTCTTCAGAAATCTTTCTAATATGCTGATTTGGTGCTCAGGAAAAATGTCTTATTATTAATGTTGAAAATGTCTGTGCTGATTCGTTGATGAATAGAACAGCATTTATGTGAAATCGAAATCTTTTGTAACAGTATAAGGTCTTTACTGCACGTTCACTCACAACTAGTACACCCAGAAATGAAAAATTTCTCATCATTACTCTTGTCATTTCAACCCAGTAATATCAGAAGGCAGAATATGAGAGGTTGAAAGAAAGTAATATGGGGTCGGAATGACATGAGGGTGAATAAATGACAAAACTTTCACTTTTGGGTGAACTATTCCTTTTGTTAGCAAAGAAACAGACACACTTTCGAACTACACGGTGTGGAAGAGATTTAAAAATCAAAGGCAGCGTCTTTAATATCAATAGCATTATTCATCAAAAAGCTAATTAAGGAAAACCACTTAAAAAAAAATAAAAAATTATACAATATCCAGCATGGCAATGTCCTGCCTTTGATATCACAATGTCATTTCCTGTGTATTGACTCTTGTATTTGATTGCTCTCACTTCATCCTTCAAACGAAACGAAAGGTAATTGGATGTCAATTATTGCACAGGTGCTTGAAAGGGAAATGAGAAAAGCAAATAAGGTCTAAGTACTTCCATCTTGACCAGAAGTGAAGCACCTCCACATATCCTGAAATGAAAGGAGATAATAAGAAGCGATGGACCGATACGTCAGCCAGGCTGATTAATTCGACAACAGTTTTCCATTTCAAGATTTTTACGTATTCGCAGATGTGTCAATCATAAAATCATACACTCTAAACAACGCTGGGTTGTTTGAACCCAAATTTGGGAAAACTATGGACAAACCCAAATGTTGGGTTAAAAATGTCATTTCAACTTTTAACTCAACTTCAACTTTCCCTTTCAACTGTACATTTTTTAATTGCATTTTTCACCCAACATTTAGGTTTGTCCATATTTTACCCAAATTTGAATTGAAACAACCCAGCATTTTTTAGAGTGTAAACAAAAAACATTCATAAGTCTGGGGGGGCGGTTTAAAGATGTTGTTGAATGAAGTCGACCAAAGCTGCATTTATTTGATCAACAAATATAGTAAAAAGCATCCTTTCTCCAGTCTTCAGTGTCACAAAAGAACCAAAATTATTTGAAATAGAAATCTTTTGTAACATTAAAAATGTATTTACTGTCACTTTTGATCAGTGTCTTAATTAAGGAGGCTTGTTCGAACTGAAATGTTCATTTAAATAGAGAGTATTTGAGCTTTTGTTTCTGTAATTATTATAATCACACTAAAAATGCTGGCTTGTTTGAACCCAAATTTGGGTCAAATATGGAAAAACCCAAATGTTATGTTAAAAATTGAATTTAAAATGTTAACCCAACTTCAACTTTCACTTTCAACGGTACATTTTTAAATGACATTTTTAACCCAACATTTGGATTTGACCCAAATTTGGGTTGAAACAACCCAGCATTTTTTAGAGCGCATGCTCAACAATGAACATTAAAACACATTAACAGGCTAATGTTAGTGTTTTAATGAAACACAAGTATTTTTTAGTGTTGAGATATTTGTGATATTTAAAAACAAACATGTTGAAAGAATTTACAGTGAATCTTGCGGACATTTGGCTTAGATTGAACACGGATCAGCGATCGAGGAGTTGCGTGATTACACTCACATACTTCAATAATGACCGGAGAGAGGACAGTAGGCCGTGAAACTTGAATCTGCCTTGAAACACCAGAGACTTGCCACTCGGTTCACGCGCAGCAGCTGTTGCTCATGCTAAACAGATTATAAAACGGAGGAATGAATTAAATTCTGAGAGAGCAAAGCGATTGGTCCGCACAACCACATCAATCTAATGATGAAGTTAAAGTGGACCAGCTGTGGCACTGGATAGGAGCTTTTAATGAAACACAGGTACGCCACCCCACCAACAGCTGCCGTTCCTGTGTGACACACACACACACACACACACTAGGGCACACTTGCATCTATTAAAGCTCATGAACACACAAATCCAAAGAGGTGGAGAGTTACTATGCTTACTCACATGCCACTTGCACTTCGGTTCTCCTCTGTAACAACGCTCCGACTCTGTTCCTCACAATACACCGATAGAAGCCAGCATGCGATCTGTCCAGAGACGGTATCAAATACCTGTGAGAGATAAAACATAGAGGGTTTACTCTCCAAAACCACAATAAAGCATAATGTAATCCAAACTGTCAGAGTGCCTTTCATAAGTCATTCATAAGCTTTTTATGTATATTTTATGTGTACAAATGGCTCTCATTCATTCTGACACCGCCGTCCTTCGCAAACCGAACATCTCTGTAATTTGTCAAAACAGTCAGGCTCGCACAGGCACGGCAGAGAGCGTTTCCTTTTCATTTCCACGTATGCTCCTTATCTTTCATGGAGGAACTCCTGAGAGAATATAAATACAGCTATGAAATTTTTTTTTCCTTATTCCCATCTCATTGTGATGACCTTGAATTCCTCTTTTTTCAGTGTAGAATGTAAATGTCCTCACATTACCATCTTCCCCTCAGTAGGTGGCGCCCTAACATACACAATGACTATGGAAGTAAAACAAGCTGCCCCGGGTTTTAGTGAGGCCTATGAGTGAGCAAATAGCACATGATTAGACCATGTCCCAATAGTTTTATGTTCCTCTGCATGAGTCCCTTGTTACTTTCATTATAGCCAATATGGCAGAGAAAACCAACTGAGACCACAGAACTGTTAATTACTTGCTTCTGTTGTTCATTTGTAAAAGACTGAATCCCACAGCGAATGAATTAACAGCCATGAGATGAAACAAAGTTCCTCAAATTTGATTGATAAAGATCAGAGCAATGATTATATGACATTTTGAAGTTTAAAGAATCGTATCTCTTTAAAAGACTTGCAGTATAATAGTTCAAAAGTCATATGGAGTTTTATGACACTTTAATGGTGATTTTTGAGCGTGGCAGAAAAAAATCCACATTTTGTTATATTTTGTTGGTCGCTACAACAAACCCAAAATATTAATTACATTTGGGCAAGACTTGTATGGCTATTGAACATAAAATGGGTTTATTTGATGATGTACAGATATGTTTATACGTTGGCCTGTTATGTGCTTGAATTGCTTTGGTAACGAAACAAAACTATTAAAAATAGAATTAAAATATTAAATTATTTTGCAAGCAACATACACTACCGTTAAATAGTTTAGGTTCAGTATGTTTTTGTTTTTAAAGATATTACCATTCATTTATGTAAGGGGACATTACATTGATCAAAAATGACAAAACAACATGGCTTCACGGGATTACTGCTTTATTTTGTGAGTTTAAAATAAGATTTATTAAGTATTTGTCATAATAAAAAAGACATTATGCAAAGTATTTATATTTCAAATAAATACTGTTATCTATTTATCAAAGAATCCTGAAACATAGTTTTCACAAAAATATTAAGTAGCACAAAAGTTTTACATTTTATAATAATAATAATAATAATAAATATAGCTGCAAGCAGCAATTATCAAAGTTCAAGCACGTTAAGGCCTTTATGCCAATGCGTAAAAAGGTTGTGTTTTATTTAGCGAGCATGTAACCACATGGAAAATACCATTTACCATACTAATCATAATCATAATCACAAAATAATAATGTTTCTTGAGCAGCAAATCAGCATATTAGAATGATTTCTGAAGGATCATGTGACACTGACGTCTGGAGTAATGACGCACTGCCATCACATAAACAGACCCCAATCTTTTGATTGCTAAAATATTTCTATATATTTATCCGAGTGGCTCAAAAAGTTCTGATGTGAAACCAGCAAAAATGGCTAGCTTTAAATCTCACGCTTCCAGTCGAGCAGCTGCAGTTGAGACGAGCAGATTTCCTTTCTCTTCTGTATACACTAACTAAAACTTCATTACTTTAAATTCACCTCTTATCGTGAAGTGGATGAAATCGGATCATCTTCCAGACATTTTAATTCAGACAGACCACATTTTCTTTCAGCCCGACTGACCTGATCTCAAATTAAAATGACCTGAAGGCCCATGGGCCACACATTACTGGACCGGAATGCTCTCCGACCTACCGGATCAATGATGGAGGGAGATAAAAGAATGAAATGGCACAGAAATGAGTGGGGTAGAGGGAAGGAATGCGAGAAGGAGAGGGAGATGAGGAAAACACTCTGCGTTTCGATCTAGATGCTTTAAAAAGCCATTGACCTCAGATGGCAATCAATACAAACAATGGAGTAGAGACAGTAAAGAGATCTGTACAGACGCAAAGAATGAGACTGAGAGGCAGAGAGAGAACATAATGCCAAAAATGAGAAACAAACAAAAACAAAGACAACAGAGAATGAGAATGATAGAGTCGGACATAGAAACACATGAAAACAGGAAGACAACATGTGGACAGTGATTGACCGACGCTGTTAGAAGGTCAGTTGTGTGGATATTCAGTCAAAGCATCAACATTATCTGTCAAACTACAGCTGTCCGAAATAGCTTCTTAATGTAGTGTCATTTTGTCAGAAGCTTAAATTTTGAAGTAAACAATTTCATTTCCACTGAGAAAATGTTTTTACCCATAATACACTCCAATTGAAGCAACACAACCAATGTACACAGAACTAAACAAGAATTAAAGTCCTGTCTTGACATCTTTAAAGACCCAAACTGTCTTTTGATAAAATGAAACATAACATAACATAGCAGTGAATACAAAAAATATACAGTATAATTGTAACTATTTTGTAATTTTATGTATATATATATATATATATATATATATATATATATATATATATATATATAATAAATAAATAAATAAATAAATAAATAATATATATATATATATATATATATATATATATATAGTGACCCAAATATTTGGGGGTTTTACCATTAGGTGATCAATACTAACAAACTGTGTCACTGGTGATTTTTATGAAACTATAAATTTCAGGCTTTTCATTACACTTTTTTCTTCACCCTTATATTTTTACAGAATACCTTTCAAAACACAGAAGCTGAAAATATGGCAATCACAAAAAAATAAATATTCAATTAACTTTCAAAATGAATGATATTGTTTTTTATAAATAAACTTTAAAATAAATAAATATATCCCAACACAAAATGGGCGTCACATAATTGACATACTATCAAAAACGAGCACCATATAAACTCTGAGAGCAGACTACAGTCCACAAGAACCAATGGCGCCACCAGGGGGTGGCCAGGGGTGGCCATGGCCACCCCTGGCCGACTCCTGGCCACCCCATTGGCCACCCCAATGGCCAGTATTAATTTTTGTAGCATCAGTTATGCATTTTATAAATAAGTCAAAAATATTCTTAAGTAAAAGAAGACGGGGAATTATGTGTCGTTACGTGCTTTTTAAGTGCCAAATGGTATACTGTTATAGCAGCTTTTAGGTGCGTTTTTGCCACGTTTGGACAGGCAGGGATGCAAACAGCGCGCTTTTCGGCACCTCCCGCTTTTTTCACGTCAGTTTGGGTGACAAAGTCATCTGAAGTCATTCCATAGCTTAATGTGAGGGACAGAACAGAAGTATATTTACATCATTAAAGTATAAACTCGTTTTCCCTCCTCTGCGGCTGTCATCATTCTCCATTCATATTCAAACAGCACGCGCGCCTCTTGGATGCACGGTAAAACTCTCTCCAATATGATATATTGACATTATAAATGCATGATCTGTAGATAAAAGTCTGTATATTCGCATAAAATTACTTTATTTTCTTGGAGTTTGTTGCTGTTTTTAAACGACTCACTACCGTGTTCTGTTAGATCACACATACATATCACAAGGATTATGAATCGGCATCAAACGCACAATAACTGTGAAACAAAGGAACAAATCGCACTTGGATTTGTGCGCTCAACATTTCTTCGATTTGTGACATGAGCTTTTAAATGCACACTTCTGAAGCGCAGTGCTGCTGCACACTGTGACTCCATGTTGCTTTGAGCACATCATTCTGCACCCGCGATGCGCATACACGCGGTGTGCTCTCTGTTTTTCATGTAATCATGGGTTTGCGCACTGACATATTATTAAAAGCCAATATATTTTGTTATACCTAGCCTGCTCAATACATTTTAAATAAGCATAATTTAATTGTATATAATTTATTTGTAGTTTAGGCTATGCACTTCTGAATTCTTGACATTAATATATAAATATAAAATTGTGACATGATTGCCTGATTGAATTTTAAAAGAGAACTAATAGTAATTTGTTTTATTAACATATTTAGATTTTATAAAATTACTGTGCAGATTTTTTCAAGAATTACTTTTTGCTGCTGATGTATACACTCATTAAGTGTATTAAAAATTCATAATACATTTATGTAATATTTAAATGTGTTAACTGTAATCTTACACTGCAAACTAATAACTTAAAAATGATTAAATTCATCACAATTATGTAAGTATCTGGAAATTTGCTGTGGGGCAAGGACCCTTATATATCATATAATATATATCATTATACAATGTAATATATATTAGTTGGGCCCTACTAATATCATTAGTAACATTAAATATTACACAATAAACCAAAGTATATCAGTAGGAGTTTCCTTAAGTCTTTCTGATAGTTTTCTACAGGCTGGTTTATTACAACAGTAGAAAACAATTCTGAAATTATGGTTTATACTGTAGTTTTGGTGTGCCACCCCAAGATTTTAACTGGCCCCATCTGGCCACCCCTACGAAAAATTTCTGGAGGCGCCACTGACAAGAACTGAAGAGCTATTAATGTCTATTATCTGGTACCACACTGATTCCAGACCTGTAGTTTAACCTACCGCTAACCGTGGGAGACGGAAGATTGTGTGGGTGTGGAGGAATCCGGCTGGAGTTTGGAAAGTGAGAGTGGATAGAGTGATAGGGCTTGAATGACGGGTGTCTTGTTAGAATGCAAGAGTTGAAGAGAGCTGTTATTAACAGACTATAATGAAATATCAAATGATATTAGCGATGAGGTTAGCGGGTTGCAGATCCTGCCAGGCATGGTAAATTGCTTCTTGTGTGAAGTATATTAGCGCTAATAGACTAATTAGGAAGTTTGGGGGCCTGGTGGGGGGTGTAGCTTTTTAGTGTGATA